GCCTTGGGGTTTAGTCATGCCGGCCAGATCACCCCGGAAGCATCTTCGGACAGCGCTGGCTCTTCGGCTTTGAAATGGAGATGAGCACCGCAACCCTAGAGTTGGACTCGACTGGCTTTCGAGCAAGGGAACCTTTACCTTTACTTTAAATAGGTACCACTTCGGTGGGAAGGTAACAGCGTTCCATGCGCCTTGGAGTTTAGTCATGCCGGCCACATGACCACGGAAACTTCTTCGGACAGCGCCCGCTCTTCGGCTTTAAAACGTAGATGAGCAGAGCAAACCCTAGAGTCGGATTCAACTGGCTTTCGAGCAAGGGAACCTTTACCTTTACTTTAAATAGGTACCACTGCGGTGGGAAGTTAACAGTGTTCCGTGTGCCTCGGCGTTTAGTTATGCCGGCCACATGATCACGGAGCTTCGGACAGCGCTGGCTCTTCGGCTTGGAAACAGAGGTGAGCACCGCAACCCTAGAGCCGGATTCGACTGGCTTTCCAGCAAGGGAAACATTTACCTTTACCTTTACCATTATTACCATTAGATTAATACAGACAATGCACCAAACGTACACCAGGGGGTGGAGAAGTACAAGAAGCTTTTCTGTGTCAGTTCGTAAGTCGATTCCAGACCCCCCTCCCCTACCCCCGCCCTTTTCCTACCACCTGCAAAGTCCCGGATCCTCTGATGGACGTGGGGGGGTTGTCCGGGCCCCAAAGCGTCCGTCTGGCTCTCCGTGTGCAGCTTGACTCGGACGCGCGAAGGCAGCCCGGAAAAAGATGACGGCGCGAGCAGAATCCCCAAACATGACCCGTCGCGGAGTGGACGCAGCATCCGGAAGCATCCGAGTTCTGAGCGGGGAGGCTCCCCTCGGCCTAGGAAGAGACCCCAGGTCATCGGAAGCAACTTGGGGAAGGAAGGGTGGGCCGACCACGCAGGGCCGTTTCTGCCTGGGGGGGGGGGGGGGGGGGGGGGGGCTCACCTAAAGTGGCCACGTTCAGGAGACTCTCCGACATGACTTCGTGGTAGAGAGCCCTTTGGTCCGGGTCCAGGAGAGCCCACTCCTCCTCTGAGAAAGACATGGCCACCTCCTCAAAGGTCACGGGACTCTGGAAGAAGGAGGAGACATTTTTGGCCAGGGATCTTTGCAGAATCTGGACACGCAGGAGAGAAGATCTGCCTGCCCCCTTCCATGGCCACCTTCCACCAGCGCAGGAAGACTCCCCCCCCCCCCCCCGTTTGGTGTTCCCTCACTGATCCCTCCTTCCTAACCAACGTTCTAATATTTTGTATCTATTCTAAGTTTGTTCTTTAATTGTTTTAATGAGGTGTGTTTCGGAGGGAGGGGGATTGATTCTAATGATTTCACAATGTAATTTTATCATGTATGTGTTAGATTGTTAGCCACCTTTACTGGCCCTGGTGAGGACAGAAAGGCGGGATGTAAACATTAGAAGTAATAAAATAATAAGAACATCAGAAGAGCCCTGCTGGATCAGACAAGTGATATATCCAATCCAGCCTCCTGCCTCACACAGGGGCCAAGCAGTTCCTCTGGAGAGCCAACAACAGGGCATGGAGGCCCAGGACCTCATAAGAACATCAGAAGAGCCCTGCTGGGTCAGACCAGGGAGGGTCCATCCAGTCCAGCCTCCAGTCTCACACAGTGGCCTACCAGTTCCTCTGGAGGACCAACAACAGGGCAGAGAGGCTGAGGCCTTTGTAAGAATATCAGAAGAGCCCTGCTGAATCAGACCGATGGTCCATCTAGCCCAGCCTCCTTTCTCACACAGGGGGCAACCAGTTCCTCTGGAGGACCAATTACAGAGCAGAGAGGCCGAGGCCTTCATAAGAATATCAGATCTGCTGAATCAGACCGATGGTCCATCTAGTCCAGCCTCCTGTCTCACACGGGGACCAACCAGTTCCTCTGGAGGACCAATAACAGGGCAGAGAGACCGAGGCCTTCATAAGAATATCAGATCTGCTGAATCAGACCGATGGTCCATCTAGTCCAGCCTCCTGTCTCACACGGGGACCAACCAGTTCCTCTGGAGGACCAATAACAGGGCAGAGAGACCGAGGCCTTCATAAGAATATCAGATCTGCTGAATCAGACCGATGGTCCATCTAGTCCAGCCTCCTGTCTCACACAGTGGCCAGTCAGTTCCTCTGGAGGGCCAACCATCGGGCAGAGAGGCCGAGGCCTTCCCCTGATAAGAGCCCTGCTGGGTCAGACCAGTGAGGGTCCCTCTAGTCCAGCATCCTGTCTCACACAGTGGCCAACCGGTTCCTCTGGAGGGCCATCAACAGGGCACAGAGGCCCAGGCCTTCCCCTGATGCTGCCTCCTGGCTCTGGGATTCAGAGGTTGACTGCCTCTGAACGTGGAGGTTCCCCTCAGCCGCCATGGATAGTAGCCAGTGAGGCTGTGGTCATGCACACTAACTAATCCATTTTCAATGCACTTTCGAATTGGAACTTGCCAGTCCACACAGTAAAAATCCAGTTGGAAAGTGCCCTGATTGTTTGCGTGACCACAGCCTTGACAGTCTTATCCTCCATGAATCTCTCTCATCCCCTTTTAAAGCTGTCTATTCTTCTGGCCATCACGACGTCCTCTGGCAGCGAATCTGTTGGGTATTACAAGTTGAAAACACTCAGTATATCTGGGGTTAAATGTTTGTTTATGTTACTCACAGGAAGTCACATGTTTCTCGTGTAACCAATGTTCTTTAGCTGTAGGATGCCCGGGAATTTTCTCCCTGATCTAGGAACTTGATTGGGACTAAAGTGTCAAGGTGTATTAGCATTTTATGGCTTCTCTTCCCGTCTTTGTTTGGTGTTCTGAACAAGAAGAGTAGCCATAATCTCCCTCTCTTCTAGTTTTGTCTTTGTAGAGTAAGGATGTAGTAAATTTTGCTCTGTTGTTATTTTCATCCCCGTTACCCTTCCCCATGCTAGAACTTAGTAAAAACTGTATATTTTAATCACACATGGACTCTCAGTCTGAATTATTTTACTCTGGCTCTGCTGGATTATCTTATCTTTGCTAAATACCATTTTTTTCAATAGCTCACTATCACCCAACAGAATCCCACATTTTAATCACTCTCTGTGCCAAGGAGATAAAGTCAATAAGTAAAGTGAATAAGATGAAGGCCCCCGAGGGCCATTTCTCCTTGCGTCGTAGACAGAAGCCGGAGGACAACGACAGACTCTCTCCGGCCCTGTCTGTCCCTCGCCCACCCCCTCAGCCCCCTCCCATACCGGATCCAGCTGGACGGCGACCGTTTCGGCTGCGTCGAGATACGCAGGTGGCCTCACACCCGGCCCTGGCATCGCTTCACCGCCTGCGAGGGAGACAAAGACAGCAGGAAGCAACAGTCAGTCCCTCCAGAAGTATTTGGCATTGCCATGCTTTGAGTGGGAAACCGTCTCCACGTGGGCTGTGAGGACGGAGGCAGACGGCAGCTCTAGGAGGTCCCCGATGCTGACCAAGATTCGCAGGGCAGAAGCTGCTCCTCGGTCCAGCTGATACTAGGCTGGAGCCCGCCACGTGGGTTCCTGGCCGGGGCCCTTTCTCTTTGGAGCCGGCTGTTCCCCAGGAGGTAGCCGTGTTGGGTCTGCAACAGAACAACTGGATCCCAGCCCAGTAATATCTGACGAAGGGAGCTTTGACTGTCGACAGTTTATACTCTGAAAAAATTGTTCGTCTCTAAAGTCCTCACTGGACTTGAATCTGGTTGTTGTCAGCTACGCTGCCATAACGGTTGGAGAGCTCAGTCTGTATCTGGTTAATTGCTAACACATTCCTTTCTATGCTTGTTCTGCTTTGCGCCGAAACGCTTATCTATACAGATGTGCAGGAGGGAGTTGTATTGTCTGGGTTTCTACTAGGTGCCATGGGAGAGTGTTGGTTCTCAGCTTTAGCTACCTAATGGTCTCCAAGCTTTATCCCGTGCGCGGGAGGGTGCCTAATTGGCCAGTGCTATGGGGGGGGGTGCATACAAATACCATATATCCTATTATGCCCATGGGGACGCCACCATTCTTAACAGTGCTTATGTTACTGCATCTATAGTAAAGGTAAAGGTTCCTTTGCTCGAAAGCCAGTCGAGTCCGACTCTAGGGTTGCGGTGCTCATCTCTGTTTCCAAGCCGAAGAGCCTAGCGCTGTCCGAAGACGTTTCCGTGGTCATGTGGCCGGCATGACTTAAACACCAAGTCGCACGGAACGCTGTTACCTTCCCACCGAAGTGGTACCTATTTGTCTACTTGCAATTTTTTGCTTTCGAACTGCTAGGTTGGCAGGAGCTGGAACTAGAGACGGGAGCTCACTCCGTCATGCGGCACACTTGGGTCTCGAACTGCTGAACTACTGACCTTCCACAGCCTGCAGTTCAGCATCTTAACCACTTGAGGCACCGCAGCTCCTATAGCTCTGCAATAAAAGTATAACCGTTCCTGAATGCGTATACTTCGTTGTTGGCTGTGGGTTCTGACAGTTGTTCGCCAAGATTTGTAAGATCCGGGATCTTATTGTCTTTTAAGAAATCCCTGAAGACTTCTTTTGTTTGTTCGTTTTGTTCAAGTGAGAGCAAGCGCAGTGTAGTGGTAAAGAGCGACAGGCTCTAATCTAGAGAACTGGGTTCGATTCCCCACTCCTCCACAGGAAGCCAGCTGGGTGACCTTGGGCCAGTCGCAGCTCTCTCAGAGTTCTCTCAGCCCCCCAAAATAAGTCTAGCTGGCCACCTAGTGGTGCATAACGCTAAAAGAGCTAGAACTTCAGGCTGCCAGACAATCTTAGGATCTCCAGGCTCTACTACAAACATTTCTATATGATAATAATAATAGAAGAACTGAAAAGTGACTCCAAAGTGCTCTAAAACAAGTCGATAAAGTCTTAGTCAACTGAAATGGGTTTCCTAAAGAAGAGGCTGGAGACTTCTCCCATGCAAGGTCATCCAGCAGCTGCAAGCGGAGAAGTGGGGAATCAAACCTAGTTCTCCCAGATTAGAGTCCGCACACTTAACCACTACACCAAACAGTCATACACCTTGATTGTTTCCTGCCAGAATCTTGTTGGTCTATTGTTATTTGGCTTCAAGCTCACCCTGTTTCTGGCAGCACAAAAGAAGCAGAAGAGATTGGATTTGTACCCCACCCTTCACTACCCAAAGGTGTCTCAGAGTGGCTTACAAACTCCTTTCCCTTCCCCTCCCCACAACAGACACCCTGTGAGGTAGGCGGGGCTGAGAGAGCTCTTGACAGAAACTGCCCTTTTCAAGAACAGTTCTGACAAGACTATGGGTTGCCCAGGGTCATACAGCAGGTGCGAGTGGAGGAGTGGAGAATCAAACCCGTTTCTCCCAGGTTAGAGTCCGTGCACTTAACAACTACACCAAACAAGCTAAAATCTGCCCCTCATAATCCTTACCCAGTGAGGTGACTCCTCTGTCGCCCCCCTGAGCGAACTCCTCAGGGACTGGTCTCTGTTGGGGGTCTGATGGAGCCTCCTCCTTGGGCAGACCAGCTGCCCCTTCAGAAGAGCCCTGGAAGAGCAGAGAAGGAGAATGTTTTGGTCATGGGGAAAAAGCGGGGGGGGGGGGCCTGGGGCAGCCGACTTCCCAAAAGAGAGGTGCGAAAGCCAAGGCTGTTCTGCCCTCCGGAGGCCCCAGGACGAAACGCTCTCTCACCTGCCTTTTCCACCTCTCCTCCTCTGCCTGGCTCAGGAGGAAGACCTCGGCCAGGGCCACCGCCTGGGAGCTGGTCTCTGGCTCGCATTCCCGGACCCAGCTCTGCACCTCCGGGGGCAGGAGGGCCAAGAAACGCTCCAGGATCACCAGGTCCAGCATCTGCTCCTTGGTGTGCCTCTCTGGCTTCAGCCACTGGTGGCAAAGGCGGTGGAGTCGGCTGCAGACCTCTTGGGGCCCCTCGGCCTCCCGGTAGCGGCACTGCCTGAAGCTCTGGCCGTCTGAGCAGAGGGTCTCCAGGCCAGGGGTTGTCTGCAGGGCTCTTTCCCAGAATTCCCTGTTCTCCATCCTGTTCCCGTCAGGCCTGCTCCCTGCTGCTGCATCTGGCTCTGCTTTCAGTCTGAGCTCCATTCGGGGCTGAAAAGAACAGAAGAAGAGCCCTGCTGGGTCAGACCAGAGAAGGTCCATCTAGTCCAGCATCCCGTGTCACACAGTGGCCAACCAGTTCCTCTGGAGGGCCAACAACAGGGCAGAGAGGCCGAGGCCTTCATTAGAACATCAGAAGAGCCCTGCTGGGTCAGACCAGGGAGGGTCCATCTAGTCCAGCCTCCTGTCTCACACAGTGGCCAATCAGTTCCTCTGGAGGGCCAACAACAGGGCAGAGAGGCCGAGGCCTTCATTAGAACATCAGAAGAGCCCTGCTGGGTCAGACCAGGGAGGGTCCATCTAGTCCAGCCTCCTGTCTCACACAGTGGCCAATCAGTTCCTCTGGAGGGCCAACAACAGGGCAGAGAGGCCGAGGCCTTCATTAGAACATCAGAAGAGCCCTGCTGGGTCAGACCAGGGAGGGTCCATCTAGTCCAGCCTCCTGTCTCACACAGTGGCCAATCAGTTCCTCTGGAGGGCCAACAACAGGGCAGAGAGGCCGAGGCCTTCATTAGAACATCAGAAGAGCCCTGCTGGGTCAGACCAGGGAGGGTCCATCTAGTCCAGCCTCCTGTCTCACACAGTGGCCAATCAGTTCCTCTGGAGGGCCAACAACAGGGCAGAGAGGCCGAGGCCTTCCCCCGATAAGAACATCAGAAGAGCCCTGCAGGGTCCGACCAGTGAGGGTCCCTCTAGTCCAACCTCCTGTCTCACACAGTGGCCAGCCAGTTCCTCTGCAGGGCCAACAACAGGGCAGAGAGGCCAAGGCCTTCATAAGAACCTCAGAAGAGCCCTGCTGGATCAGACCAGTGAGGGTCTATCTAGTCCAGCCTCCTGTCTCACACAGGGGCCAACCAGTTCCTCTGCAGGGCCAACAACTGGGCAGAGAGGCCGAGGCCTTCATTAGAACATCAGAAGAGCCCTGCTGGATCAGACCAGGGAGGGTCCATCTAGTCCAGCCTCCTGTCTCACACAGTGGCCAACCAATTCCTCCGGAGGGCCAACAACAGGGCAGAGAGGCCGAGGCCTTCATTAGAACCTCAGAAGAGCCCTGCTGGATCAGACCTGGGAGGGCCCATCTAGTCCAGCATCCTGCCTCACGCAGTGGCCAACCAGTTCCTCTGCAGGGCCAACAACAGGGCAGAGAGGCCAAGGCCTTTGTACGAATATCAGAAGAGCCCTTGCTGGGTCAGACCAGGGAGGGCCCATCTAGTCCAGCATCCTGCCTTTCACAGTGGTCAACCAGCTCCTCTGGAGGGCCAACAACAGGGCAGAGAGGCCCAGGCCTTCCCCTGAGAAGAACATCAGAAGAGCCTTGGTGGATCAGACCAGTGAGGGTCCAGCCTCCGTCTCACACAGGAGCCAGCCAGTTCCTCTGGATGGCCAGCAACAGAGCATAGAACTTTGTGAACTGTCACTTACAACGTCCAGGAAGGAGAACAAACGTTCAAACAACAAATAAAATGATACCGATGCGCATTTCCCTGTAGGAAAGTCAGATGAACGGAACCGGGACTGCAGACTTGAGGGTGTTGGGGGGGGGATGGGGGGGGGGGGTGGCCACTTCCCCATTGGCCCAGAAGCTGAAACTGACCTCAGGTTTAGGCCAGTGAGTTACTACCCTTATAGACCGCTTTCTCCTTGAGATTTAAGGTTACCGCTTCTCGGCCTTTTGGCTAAGACGTGTAAACATTATCTATATAAAAGAGATTTAAGGTGGATTACAGAGTCCAAAGGCAATGCGATAGACAGAGCAGGATACCTGCAAACGAGCATCACGCACAAGAACACAAAAGTGGACCCCAGAGTTAGAAAACGGTCTGTTACAAGCAGCACAGTGCCAACAATAAACGCCACAATTATAAAAGAAAACTCCCCCAAGATATTCACAGGCGTGAAAGTGATAACCCTGCTTACTTTGGGAACGAGTCCCTGTTGCTATGAAGAAGAGAAGAAGAAGAGATTGGATTTATACCCCGCCCTTCACTACCCAAAGGAGTCTCAGAGCGGCTGACAAACTCCTTTATTTATTTATTTTATTTCATTTATACCCCGCCCTCCCCACACACGGGCTCAGGGCGGTTTACATAGGCCCAACAGTGCAATAAAATACAAGAAGATTAAAACAATTAAGGCACCAAAGTGCGATAAAAATAAAACAGGTTAAACACTTTAGACAAAAATTCACATCTTGCAGGATACATCCCTCCCCCTCCCCACAACAGACACCCTGTGAGGTAGGTGGGCTGAGAGAGCTCTTGACAGAAACTGCTCTTTTTCAAGAACTCCTCTGACAGAACTACGTCTTGCCCAAGGTCATCCAGCAGGTGCAAGTGGAGGAGTGGGGAATCAAACCCGGTTCTCCCAGATTAGAGTCCGCGCACTCAACCACTACACCAAACTGGCTCTCCCTATGGGAGCAAGTTCTCCAACTGGTCTGCCTCTAGATTTTCCCGCACTTCACAAACACATACACTGACAGCGCTCCCAGGACCCCGGCCCTAGATCCAGTGCAGGACATGGAAGAGGCGGCCTAGAAATATGAGGGGGAGAGAGATGGATAGATGTATGGACAGGCAGGCAGACACCCTCCTTTCAGTGCTGCACAGAGAGAAGGCAGGTCGAACCCGAGTCAGTGCATCCAAATGCAACATTCCGCCCCCCAGAATTTTGTGCTTGCAGGGACCTGCTGCCCTTGCAGAGAGGGGGGAAGAAACACACCGGTTTGGGGGGGGGGAGGGGGATGCATTTTGTTGGCTGCCCCACCGACATCAAATGCGGGCAAGGGCAGCGTGTGGGTGTCTCTCTAGCTTTCTTCTAAATCCATCTAAATCCACCCGTGCCTCCTTCCACTACTTGGAAGCCTCCCCTCCAGCCCCCTCTTCACCCCCCCTCCAGCTGCTACCGTGGGGCTCCCACTCCTTCAAGGGTGGTGGCCCTGTGCCTCCCTGATACCAGTGGGGCAGGAAAGCCCAAACAAAAGAGCCTAGTCGGGGTTCTTCCCCCCCCCTCCATCTAGTCCAGCATCCTGTCTCACCCAGTGGCCCCCAAAACAGGGTCCCTTCTGGTGCTGCCGCCTCTTAAGCACTGGGGGGGTGGGGGGTGCAGAGGTAGACTGCCTCTGACTATGGAGGCTCCTTTTGATCACCGTGCGGAGCGGGGGGCACGGTCTGGGCAGGATGCAACCCTTGCCAATGCCATTCGCAGCCAGCCCCCTTTCCCTTGGGCTGCCCCCGTCCGCAGCCGCCTCCTCTGGACCCTGGGTGTGAATCGTACCAGAAGTCAGAGGGATGGGCGGCGCCTCTCTTGGAAGGGGGGCCCGGGACCGTGCTAGAAAACCCCCCCTGCCGTTGTCCCCCGGCCAGGGGGGGAGGGGGGGGAGGGGGGCCCAACGACTCCGCAAGCACGTGACGGCGAGTCATGTGACCGAAAGAGGCGTGGGCAGAGCGAGGCGCTTACGGGCGGGGACGCGGCGGGGCACCCTGTTGCAAATGCCTGGGGCGCACGGGAAGAGCAAGGGGTGGTGCGGTCACCCACGCAAAGGTGGGGGGGTCCCCCCGGGGGCCCCGCCCCCCGGGGCAGCCGGGGGGGCCCCCCCCGCCCCACCCCTCTAGGAAGCCGTGACCCCCACCTGAGGCTCTCTCCATGCGGGGAGGAGCCCCCCCCCCAGTTATTTGTAGGCTTTGATTCTGCATATAGCTCCATTTTTTTCCTGCCTGGCCATTCCACTGCCCCCCCTTCTCCAGTACCCTTCCTCCTTCCTAGCAGGGCTGCGGAGAGATGGGGCCTGGGGGGGACTCAAAATTCACCCCCCCCAAGTCAGCTGGAGGGCTGCTGAAGCCGGAGTCATGCTGTATCCCCCGCCTCCACCATGCATGGAATTATTTTTCCCGAATGCAGTTCTGACTGCGGCCACTAAGGGGAGCAGGGAGAACAGCTTTCTCTTCGGCCTGTCTGTACAGGAGGCTGTGGGTAACCCTAAACTTCTACACTCATCGGCCAAGCCACCACTGGAGCGAAGCAAGAGACCAGCCAGGACAAGCTGGAAGTCGATGCAGTTTGCATTGCACAAACATGCCAGTCCCTGCGATAATAAATAAATAAATAAATGGACATAAGTCTGAGTGCAGTGGCGCCTTTTTGTTGTTCAGTCGCACAGTCGAGTCCGACTCTCCGCCACCCCATGGACCAGATCACACCAGGCCCTCCTGTCTTCCGCTGTCCTCTGAAGTTTGCTCAATTTCATGTTCGTTGCTTCGATGACACTGTCTAAGGATCTCATCCTTTGCCGTCCCCGTCTTCTTTGACCTTCAATCTTTCCCAGCATCAGGGTCTTCTCCAGTGAGTGCTCCCTTCTCATT